GAGTTTAATTCGTTCCAGGATTGAGCTTGTATAGCAAATTTCTCGTATCTAGAAACAAACTTCCTCATTGAAAATAATGGAAATCCAGTTAATCTGTTCCGCAACCCCAAAAATATAAATATAAAAATCAATTTTTCTAATAAGTAACACTGGTAAATAACATAACCATAGTTTAACTTTATGAAGAGTCCTGACTACTAAAGGGGATGTGGGGAAGATGAAAGGGGTTACTGTGGGGATTGGGAGTCACCTTCCGATTCAGGAAGGCTCTCTCCTCTTGGGAATTTTACCCCATTGAAAGCAGGTTCTATGTCAGAATCACTTTCTTTTCATTGCAGGTTGCTTTCTTTTAGTTACAAACTTATCTAATAACGTTTGTTTCTGTATTCTTTTTAAGATGCCTCTAAAATGTGACACTACATTGTCATTACACAAATTCATGGTGCACCTACAAATTGCGTTATTAGAGTGATTTTCTTCAAAGAAACTTCTTTCTACTTTGCCCAAACTTGTTTAATCTTACTTGAAGAGAGGACCTCATCTCTTCTCTCCTCCCCCTGCTGCTGCTCCTTGTGAAGTTCTTTAAGTTCGTCAGTTGTAAGTTCTTCACTATGCTCCTCCACTAATTCATCCAGACCTATACTTTTCCCCAGAGCTATAATTTCTTCAATTAGTTGCACTGTGTTGTTCACAGATTCATAATCAAAACCAAAGTCAGGAATACCCTGAGGCCACAGTTTTTTGCATGCTGAATTCAGGTTCCTCAATAAGACTTCTACCCAAGCCTTATCAATGAGGTTTAAACAATTTAGGATGTTGAAGTGATCCTTCCAAAATTCTCTGAGGGTCAGGTTTGTATTTGCAGTCACTTCAGAGCATGTTTGAAACAAAGCCTTCACGTACAGCTTCTTCTTCAAGATGGAAATAACTTGCTAGTCCATAGACTGGAGAAATGGAGTGGTGTTGAAAGGAAAAAATGACTTTTGAACTGAAATTCCTCCAGCAAATCATCTTCAAGCCTTGGAGAATGTGCAAGAGCATTATCAAGGATGAGCAAAGCCTTGAGTGACAACTTATTTTCGTGAAGGTATTTCTTCACTTAAAAACTGCACTGACCCAGTTGATGAAAAATTGCTGTGTTACCCAGGTTTTTGCTTTTGGCCTGCCACACCACAATCAGTTGGTTTTCTGCACCTTTCCCCCCTGAAAACTTGCGGAGGTTGAGTGGTAGACGTGCAACGGCTTGATTTTACAATATCCACTTGCAACACGCAAAACAAGAGGGTAAGCCCATCTTTCATTGGCTTCTGGACAGGGAAAGATTTCTCTCCTTGAATAATGTAGGTCCCTCTTAGGCATTTTCTCCCCCCCCAGAAAAAAAAACTGTTTTATCAGAATTAAATACTTGCTATGGAATAAAGCCCTCACTAGTAATATATTGTAGGAAATCTAGCCGAAATTTATCACCAGCAGCTGTATTAGAGATCGCAGCCTCTCCATGTCACACAACACTGTGAACACCAGTTCTCTTTTTAAATTTTCAAACCATTGACGGCTTGCCTTAAATGCCATTTCATCTTCAGTCGAAATGCCTGGTGTTTTTTGAAGAAGGTCCAAGTACAGATTCTTAACCATAGCGCAAATGATAGCTTCCAACACCAAACTGCCTTTTAACTGCTTCTCGATAATCAAAACCAACATTTTCTTCTAGGAGTTTTAGACAGTGCTTAGAAGTAACAGTAACTCCTTTGGCCACATCAAGTTTCTTAATTTCTTCTTCAGAATAGTGCAGATCGTCGATGTCGAACGGCCTTAAGTCTTCACCAATTCCATCACTCTTACACCATGCTTATGTTTATCTATGATTTCTTGGAGAAATGGCAGTATGCATGGCCTTAATTTCAATGGCCATGACTTCCTTCTTTTTTTTTGTGGCACTATCTGAGGCAACAATCTTCTTGGGAGGAATAATGAAATAATTATTTTCATGTTAAATGTAAAAAAACAATTAACTCACAAGCGCACAAACATATGGATCAAAGAACACCGAGTGATCTGATGAGGAGCTCCCCCGAGTCGATCCGGATCGGGAAATAGCAGCATGCATACCAACAGCCTGGCTCCTTGCTTGTTACTCGAGTCAATGCTTGTATTTAGAGCTGAATTTTCCGTGCATATTTTCCCCACATCCCAAATTTCTTGTATATAGAGGCGCTCGCATCTTGAGGTTCTACTGTATAAGTATCGGAATCGGGAGGTTGCATTAAAGTTAGATTTCATAATTTGTCTAAAATTAAGACCAATGATTGTATATATATGCACTGAAGGGCCACTAAAATTAAGACTAATAATTGCACAAACAAAAGGCCATGTAAGGATTTCTAAGCTGGGTAAGGGGGTGGGTATGTAAATATATATATACACACACACACACCAAAGGGCCATTACATTATGACCACCCTGTTATCCGGCATGGCATTGGCTCCATAAGGCGCTGACAGGTAGTCTGAGGTATCTAGTACCAAGTGCTAACCAACTAATCCTGCAATACCTGCACATTGCGAGGAGGTAGCATGGCAGCACGAATTTGGTTTTCCAAATGGACCACAAATGCTCTATTGGATTAATGTCAGGTGAATTTCGAGGCCAAGACATGACTTAGTCACTGGAATGTTCCTCATACCACTCCCTCACGATTCAATCCTTATGACATGGTGCATTATCCTGTTGGTGAACACCATACCCGGCGAGAGTACTGCAGTCATGAATGGGTGAACCTGGTCTGCAACGATGTTTGCGTAGCACACAGACGTCAAGGATTGTTCTATGGGAATTATGCGTTCCATGAAAACATAGCCCACACCACAATACTCCTCCCCACTGGCTTAACTCTGTCAAACTGTGCATCCAGGAGCCAGGGTTTCATTTGGAAATCGACGTATTAGCACAAGCATATGGACGTGATGGACTAGAAAATATGATTTGGCGGACCATGGAACTTTCTTCCATTCTTCTAATGTTTCTGGGCCCATTGCAGACACAGCTGGCGACGACGTTCCGTTAGTGCAGGGAATGCTTTGGCCTTGGGCTGAATAGGCCATATGCAGCAATGTATGCTGCACAGTGTGTTGAGAAACACTGTCAGGGTTGCCACTGTTGTAGCTGGTGGTGATTTCAGTTGTTGTAGCTCTTCAGTCATGACGAAGAATGCATAACAGTCTCTACTCTCCTCTGGCATCAATGTGCCATCGACAACACTGCTGGCAAGCGACTTGTCGTTTCACCATCTATATACCACTTTCGATATGTGTTTACTTGACTTGAGCAGCCCACTAAATGCAGCGTTTCTGATATTGATGTTCCTGGTTGCCAAGCCATACCAATTTGACATTTATCGAAGTCTGATAAGTCAGCTGCTTCTCCCACTATGTTTGGAAAGACAATACATAGCTGCTTTATATACTCCAACATCGGCCGTGCAGGTGCAGAGGTTTGTTCCTGAGCAAGCCTATTATTATAGATAAAGGTTGGTCATAAAGTAATGTACAAATATGGTACAGGTGACTGCAATAAAAAAGGGAGGTTCACAACTAGATGTTATAGCATTATCATACACAAAATTTCAAGATTCTACGGATAATCACTTTTGAGAAATGCAAGATTTATACATATGTACAGATGTCACGGAAAAGTCACTTTTGAATCCATTTTGAAAAAGTCCTTTATTCTGTTCATACATACAGATGTCATTAAAAAAAAAAAAAAAATTCTAATGGTTATTTGAAATATGATACTTGAAATTTTTCGCGACTACAATACTTTTTAAAAGGAAGTAAAACGGCTGCAGCCTCATTGTGAATACATCCTTCACACATATTATTATATTATGCAATTAATCAACTACTGTAGATCGAAGTTGTCAGAGTCCACTGATGCAAGCAGGTTCTATTTATATAACTGAGTTAAAAAACAAGAAAAAAATTCATTTACCTTTTCTGATGCATCATTGAATCTGACGTGATGTTTCAGCTGGCAATCTTTTTTACAGAAACCACAATTCTATTTCTTGACATCATATTTTATTTACATAAAACATCCAAAAGAAAAAAATTAATATTTAAATACATTTTCTTATACAGCCTCTCTTTTTCTCTCATGTCTGTACAGATCAATTTATTCACACGGATTCGAAAACCAAAGTAGCTACTATATATATATATATATATAAAAGTTTCAATTGGCACCCTATAGTGAGGGAAAGACACTTTAGACGAACATTTAACATTTACTGTGACAAGTCTGGGACCACTCCCAACTTTAAATCACTTCACTCTCCAAGGCAGTAGTAGCACTTGCACTTGTATTCTATTCTCAGGGAATCCAACCATAATGTATTCAAATTTCACAGATGAATGCACTGAAAGTAAGAAAATTATAAGCTGTGCATAAGGAAGCATGATACTAAAACTTGTGCTATTTACACAGCCCCTTGAAGAGTTTTTAGAATAGCTGACAGACATTCTAGTATTAACTGGCCCTGTTATAATGCATTTCTTACTATTGCAAAAACTAATTTATTGCCTTTAGTGCTTCCTCAATTGCAAGGAAATTATTCCTATACTCATGCTCTAGAAATGAAGTAGTTATTTCAAAGTTCAATTTACAGCCAGTTCTTAAAATTAAATAAATGGCAACAATATAATTTATTTCAATGTCACTCTGACTCAGGTTAGAGACTGGATTTTTGTTAAGATAAAGTAATTTTTAATGCAAATTTAAATTAAAAATGCTTATTTTAATTTTCAAACATAAATATGTTTCATGAAAAAATATTGATTAAGAGTGATTTACTTCACAAATGAATTATTTTTAATGTATGACAATTCTAATTTCATAGAAAATAATGATTAAATTCAATATTAATTTTGTCAAAATATTAAATTCTCTTGTGCATGCTAAGACAGAACAACATAAATCTGTCAAAAATAATCTGACAAAAATAACAGGAAATATGACAAATATTTATTTTCTTAAAAAGTGTAAAGCAATAAAACTATTTTTTAATTTCACAGTTTGTAGAGTTACACAATGAAGAATTCTATGTATTAACATGATTATGATGCCTGTTGAATAAATTAAGTCCAACATTTAACACATTGGTAAAAGCAGACTGTAATAACAAAAATATTATTTATGCAGTTCAGTAAACGAATACTAGCAAAAGATGCTCTTGTTCATAACTAATTAAATAGAAAGGAAAAAAATCGAGCAATTTTGATAGAGAAAGTTGAAAATCTTGGTAAGCAGAAATTTTTTAGTAATAAAATGAAGCTTGCATTACATTATATGCCTTTTTTAGATGACAGTGATGCTGCTCCACGATTGCACATCCACATCCACATACTTATATTTTTACAGGCACATTCAGAATGGTCAGATAAGTTATGATCCATCCTTCATCTACAGGATGTGAATGTGTCTCCAATGGACGAGGATTTCAGTCAATCACAGAGTGCTTGCTAGCTTTAGTCTTACGGCAGATTATTATCTGCTCAAAGGCCAAGCAATTTTTTAAAGTACTAAAATATTCTTGCTATGCCATTTTATTAACAATAGTCTGATGTAATGTAGATAGTTGTCCAGTCCATTTATCTAAAGCATTATACCTGGCAGCACCTAGTGCTTTTTTGTCCAGTTTCAGAACTTGATTTTCTTGATCTATACGACCTTGAATAGTGCTGGAAAAAAATATGAGATCTTTTTATTCTCAAAAATACACACTCTATGAGTAAGAAAAACAAAAAACTAATATCATAATCTAAAACCATATATTGAAACTTAAAAGAATAAAGAATTAGAGCACACTGAAAATCTAAAAATAGCAATCATGTCTAAAAAGAAAAGGTAGAATATTTTCTGATTATCTGCACCTATCCCTAACGAAAATTAGTGAAAAATTATTGATGAGGTAATGCATTCATTTTGTCAAAAAGTATTAATATAGTAACTCAGATTGTGCACTTGCAAGATTATATGCATAAAACGCATATATTACAGTACACATGGATTTGCTGTTTTGATATAATGATAATTTTTCCATTTAATATTTCTCTCTGTACATTCTAACACCAGCCGAGTAGTTTTAAGAAGAATCATAATGGGACTGTGGAGTTTGTTAACTGATAGAGTGTTGCATTTCTTAAGAAAATATGGCATTTTGCTCAATTACTTCAAAATTAATACCTGTCATGTAATTTCTATATGACATTTGTAATGCGTGTAAAGAGAAAAAGTCTTTTGGCCAATAATCATAAAAATTTACAAACGAAAATCTTAATAATTAGAAATGAGGTAAAAATGTAACTGCAATATCCTTAACTTGTAACCTTCATATTTTAATCTACATAATTTTTGTCAATTTGCTTTTCTTTTAACATGTAATCTATAATATTTTTCGTATTTGAATCATATCATAAAAATGTAAAAACAAGTACAACAAACATACCAACTGCACCAATGTAGCTGTTTGTTAGGAATGTTTTATTAACACCGATATTCCAACCAACCGATATGCTCACGAGCCCACGAGAGTCGCTGCAGGCGATGTCGTGCTCAAAGGCACTCAAATCCGTCTTCTGCTGGCATAGCCCAAGGAAGACAAATTTCGCCGCACCGTCCTATCGGACACGTCCCACATTGATTTCTGCGGTTATTTGACGCAGTGTTGCTTGTCTGTGAACATTGACAACTCTACGCAGACGTCACTGGTCTCGGTCGTTAAGTGCAGGTGGTCGGCCACTGCGCTGTCCATGGTGGGATGTTATGCCTGAAATTAGATACTCTTGGCACACTCTTGACACTATGGATCTCGGAATGTTGAATTCCCTAACGATATCCGAAATGGAATAATCCATGCGTCTAGCTCCAACTACCATTCCGCGTTCAAAGCCTGTTAATTCTCGTCGTGCGGCCATAATCACGTCAAAGCCTCTTCACATGAATAACTTGAACACAAATGAGAGCCCTGCCAAAGCACTTCGCATTTATACATTTTCTACGCGATACTACAGCCATCTGTATATTTGCATATTGCTATCCCATGACTTTTGTCACTTCAGTGTATAGCAAAATATTTCAGTAATCAAATACAAGAATGATTTTACAAACTGGAAAATATGATTGAAATGCATATTTTTTAATCAAACTAATGTTAATTAAAATCCATAATTATAAAAAAACAGAAAAATTAAAAATAATTCTTGTAAATTATATGCATATTTATAAAAGTTTTCATTTTATTAGTTAAGCAGAAATATCTTAAAAGCTTATAAATTTTTGAAGTGACTATTTAATATTTAAAATCAGAAGTCATAAAAAGAGGCAATAAGAATTCATAAACCTTTCAGAAGCCATACATATTCTTGTGAGAATATTAAATAATTTTAACTCTAGAAGAGAGACAACAAATTTAGATATAAAATTAATGGACCAATACTTATAATCTATTTATAAATTATGAATGTAAAGATTTGTAAGTAAGATGTTTAGCAAGTTAAGTTTCGAAGAATGGAATCTTTTCCCATAAGAGTTTTTCTGCATGCATGTTTACTTGTGCAGTTACGAGTTGCTTCAAAAAATTTCAAGGCCAAATTTGGCCCTTTTTTTTTGGGGGGGGGCAATAGGAAATATTCTCTCAGAAATTGCACCCGCATGAGGTATTATTAAAAATGCAATCATTACACTAGGCAATACTTCATATTTAATGCACGAATTCATACTTTTTAATTTCATAATTTCTGATCATGGTATATCAACATGCCAATTTGAAATTTCTTTTAAATTACCTATGATATGGAGAAACTCAATTTATAACTGATGGAGATATTTTTCATCACTAATAGATGAAAAAGTATTCATTATGAAACTAATGGATAAAAATGAAACTAGTTCTCAAATTAATGTTAGCTACTTCAATATGTTTTTAAACTAGAGTATTAAAATAATTATTTAACCCTGTAGTTATAAGCATGTAGTGAATTAAAAAATAATTTTATTAAAATGGGCATTTTTTAAAAATATAATCTTGTTTCTTTCTTTGTTCACTAAATTTTCATTTTGTTTTGGTCTATTACATTTGTGAAATGGAATGCATGTCAGAATGACTTCTGCACCTTCCTCAGAAACTACTAATGGTTTTACAAATCTAAAAAAAATACTTAAAAGTTTAAGTTCTCTCTGTAATTTATGTATATGATGAGCTTGTTGTTACAAATTAATATTAATTGTTAATAAACAAAGGCAATGCATTATCTAAAAAAGTATACTTTGGTGGTAGGTGATTGCAACATCTTTTTTTGATGTTTTCTAATTTCTTTCATTCACTCATTTGACTGAGCACTAAAAGGATAAATTCGTGTTATAGACTCTAAAAAGTAATCATTTACTGTATTATTTTTCAAAATATTATGAAATTTTGCATTCTGTCTCAAAATTTGTTGAGCAAGAAGCTATGGTACCCTCTGTGTTTTTTTTCTCTAAAATCAATATATATATCTGTTAACATTTTTAGGCTATTTTATTTCATGGTAATTTTTTAAAATAATTTCTCAGTAATGTTATATGTAAAGAGGAGTTGGATTTATGAAAATGTGTCAACCACAATCAGATCTGGTTGACACATTTTCATTAATGATGCAACACCTTTGAATTTTTCCAACAATGCCTCAAGAAAAAGATCTGCAATATTCCCTTTCTACACCGCAGCTTATAAAATATTTATTTACACAAACTTTACTTTACTTTCCCCAGGATTATTCATACGTTCTAATAGAAATCAATGAAGTAATTATTACTTCTCTTTTTAATTTGCTATAACATGTCACAATCAAAGGGTACAGTTTGTTATTTCCAGCAGTATTTAGAGCACATGAAGTATTGCACACTTATTCTAAAATATTGGTAACTAGTTTCAACTTTTATTTTATTTATTATTTTTTAAGCTATGGTAGAGTCATAAAATCATTTTCTTAAGCTCTAACTGATTATAATGCAAATATCTTAAGCTGAAAGTGACAGTGTAAATATGTAACAAATTATAGTTTATTTTGTCTAGTATTCAAATTCATAATTAGTATATATATATATGTAATAATAAAATTCCAGTCAAGAATACACTTAAATTTCTAACTGTGTGTCTTTTCATTTTTAATGGCGACATTCTCTTATTTGAAAGTACGTGGAAATTAAATCCACAGCCCCGTAGTCAAGTTGTTTTTTCCCGCCTTTTCTACACGTACAGTTAGAGAATGTTCTCGAAATATTTAAAGCGAACTGGATTGGCTGACGAGGCTGACGTCATTTCTTGGAAGCTCCGCCTTTCCAGAGGCTATAAAAAGACTCGCAGAAGAATATCAGGGCTTTTTCTTAAATGTCACGATGCAGTAAACTACATACAAAAAGTTATTAGTAATTCTTTTTATTTACTCTGGATATCTGATTTTTGTAACTGCTATTTCTCCTGAATAATAATAAATGGATCCTGTTTTTTAAACTTATTGTCTGATTATTTAAGCTACGACTAAAGCTGATAAATCACAAGGAGTCGGCAGGATGGATGTACCCAAAAGGATAATTTCAATGGAAGAGAAAGAACTTTTTAAGTGCAAGTTGTGTCTGTTTTTTACAACTGAAGAATTGTGAATTGTGATGCAGCTTTGTCTTCGAATTTTGAGCGCGTCTCATAGTTAGAACCGCATGATTTGGATATCGTCTGCTGGAAAGAATGTGAAGAATTTCAATCATTTATGCTGTTTTTTTTTTTTTAAACAGCACACAAAGGAGCAGGATTAAATAGTGTACTCAACAGCCAAATAAGAACATATTTTAAGAAATTATTTTTTATCACTGTGTGAACTAAGATGCTACGACAAAATATATTATGTTAAAGTAATTACGAGTTTATTTAAATTTCAAGTCTTATTCTAATTAACAGTATTCTAAGTAAGATTTGATATTATCTGAAATGTATAGTGATAATCATAAAATTTGAGAATACAAAATTTTTATTTAAGTCTATTATTCTATGAAGTGTTGATAATACTCTGAAGAGTTTTTGGTTTAAAAAAAATATTTTAACAATTGTAAAAATACTTTGAAAAAAGTGCACATTTTTTTGTTCAAGAAAATTTTAAAGTTTCAGTTACAATATCGACAAATCAGGAACCCGTTAATCTTGACGATTCACTGGACGTGAATCAAGATACAATCAAGATACAACTTGGCTTAATACTTTGTTATATGAACAAAAGTGATTTTGGACGTCTGAAAGCAATTGAATTTTCTCTAGATTATATCTAAAACAAAACCTTACGAAATCAATAACTTTCTGCTTTGTGAGTGAGAGCATTATAGGTATCCATAAGAACGTCGTTCTCCAGTTCTCCAATGGGCATCGAATTCCACTGCGTGTCAGCTGGCATATATTAGCCAATGAGGACAAGGCAAGCTGTTATTTGGATGTTCTTTAGTTATTTTGTTCAATTTGTGCTGAGTTGTGCGAGTGCACGTGCCTTCGGGAAATAGTTTTAGAAATTATCATCTTTTGTTATGTCTGCGAGAATGAAATACTCGTGTACGTTTCAAAAATCGTACACAGTTGACTTTCCTTCCATTATTTCCTCAAGGAAATGTAATAAATTTGCGATGTGCACCGCCTGTCGTTGCTATTTTTTGAATTCGCAATGTGGAAGGGCGGATGTTCTCAAACATGTGCGAACACAAAAACACACAAGGATAACATGAGTTGTTTTTTAAAAAAACGAAAAATTAAATTTTTCTTCGGAAACAAAGCACCAAAAAGTTATTAATGCAAAATGTCTGTTTTCTGCCTTTTTACTGGAGCACAACCTGCCACTGAATGCATCGGATCACGCTGCAGCTTTATTTAGAAAAATGTTTCCCGATAGTGAAATTGCTAAGAAATACTCAAGTGCAAGAACCAAAACAGGTGCAATTGTTAAAGAAATGAGTTTGAAAAATAAATCTTCAGTTATTGATTGGACAAAACAGCTCCGTTCTACCTCTCTACGGATAGAAGCAATAATACCGATTCAAAACTGTATCCAATTGTTGTTTCTTTTTTTAATCCAGATTCTTAAGAAATTGAGTGCAGTTTACTTTCTGTCCCCATTTTAGAAGGACATTTGACAGGCTTTAATATACCACAGCTAATTATTAAACTTTAAAAGAAAATGCAGGCCCTCTGGATAATTGCTTAGCACTTGGTGCCGATAATGCACCAGTATTGGTAGGCTTGAAGACTGGTGTTGCAGGCATCTTAAGAAAGGAAAATTCTGATTTGCAGATTATGAGGTGCACCTGTCACCTCTTAAATTTAGCAGCTGAAAAAGGGGCAACTTCTTTACCAATAAATGTGGATGAACACATTGTTGATATTTATTATTATCTTGAAAGGAGTTCTAAAAGGAAGGAAAAATTGAAACAGTTCCAACAGCTGCATAACAGCAGTTTACAATTAGAAAACTTGAATGAAGTTATAAAATCAGCTAGGATTGACACCCAGCGGAGTTTAATTGGAAAACTGAAAGGTGCTGATGGAATTTTAAAATATAGCCAACTGTCTAGAATTGTGTTGGCCATCTTGACAGTTCCCCATAGTAGTGCAGAGTGTGAGAGGATTTTCAATGTTGTTGCGTAAACGAGGACTAAATTTAGATCTAATATTAGTGATGACACATTAGAAAAACTTTTCTTAGCGAAAGCAGGCCTATGTGTCAATTGCAGTGAACAAAATTAGAATGAAATACTCGTGAAATTTTAGTTTAGAAAACTAATTTTCTAAACTAAAATTCCCTCCTTTTTTTTTCCCGTAAACGATGCAAGTAATAAAAATGTTTTTTATGTGTAAGGTATTTTTGTGTTGCTTGCATTTAAGAATTAGTTACTATTTAAAGTTAATTCATTATTAAAAACCATATTTTTATCATTTAAAAAGTCTTTTAACATTGTGAAAAATCTCCTGATTTCTTAAAAAAATCTCCTGATTTTTGAGTGTCATAGGTTGGCAAGTATGCACTTAAATTTCTAACTTTTATGTTTATCTTTTCATTCTGTTCTTTTCATTTTTAATGGTGACGTTCTCTTATTTGAAAGTACGTGGAATTAAATCCACAGCCCCGTAGTCAAGTTGTTTTTCCCGCCTTTTCTACACGTACAGTTAGAGAATGTTCTCGAAATATTTAAAGCGAACTGGATTGGCTCACGAGGCTGACGTCATTTCTTGGAAGCTCCGCCTTTCCAGAGGCTATAAAAAGACTCGCAGAAGAATATCAGGGCTTTTTCTTAAATGTCACGATGCAGTAAACTACATAGAAAAAGTTATTAGTAATTCTTTTTATTTACTCCAGATATCTGATTTTTGTAACTGCTATTTCTCCTGAATAATAATAAATGGATCCTGTTTTTTAAACTTATTGTCTGATTATTTAAGCTATGACTAAAGCTGATACATCACATATATATATATTACTGTGCAGTAGTTAGAATTTTCTTTAAAAAATACATCAGAACATTAATAAACAGCAGAACAACATTAGAGCATAAAACATCAGAATAACTCTATAAATATTTTAAATAAATATTTTGTCAATAAAATCCACTTATATTTTAAAAAGCTATACTTATATTTATTACCAGAAAAAGCAAACGATTTATGCACACACATTTTAAAATACCATTTATCAAAAGTGGAACTCTTCATTTGTAAAGTACTCTTCTATTCAACAAATTATTCCATCAGAAATCTTGTAGAAAAATTATTTCAAATTAAGGCATTTCTTTAAGATTTAGATTTATTTCCAAGAATTACACTTACTTATCCAATATACATGACACTAGTAAACTTTCTACTTCATTTACATCAATGTTTAATTCCTGAAATGAAGAAAATAGTTAAAAGATACTGGGAGAGAAATGATTGAATTGCTGATTGCAAGTTAATTTCTAATTAGAGATATCAAATTTTTTAAACTTAATATATTGACAATTAAAAAAAGCACGAAACAGGAACATAAAAGTATGAAGACAGAAAATTGCACAGCTCGCAGCAGTTTTATCTTGTAAAGACATTAAGATTTCTTTATGTGGGAGACGTAAAAAATATGTAATGCCCTCACTGAGAATTTAGCCTGAACCTCTCAAATATGCATTAGATAATGGTCCAGCATTCAAGAGCTATCTGCCTAAGGCTTTCTCAGGAAAATTACTTCATATTGTCATTACACACGAGGAAACCACGAAAATGTCCATGCAAATAACCCATTTATCACAATCTATAACCTATGATGGAATTACTAGTATTCAGCTACTTTACTACACAGCTGCTGATGGGCAGCTTTCTAAAGGAAACTGGATGCCTATGTTATACAAGGAGACAAAAACATTTATGTAGGAACTCATTCAGAGAGATTTTAAATCAGGTTGAATTTTGTCTTTTCTGCTGGTTTATTCATTCAGCCATAGTGGATTTGAGTCCTAAGTTTTGATGAAACTGTTTCCTTATTACTATTTTGTATTATTATGGATGTTATACTTTGTCTTGGAACACTTTTCATTTTTTCTGTGTGAAGAAGGGGCATATTAGTGTTACATGTATTAATATTTTTAGAAAAAGGTTTAAGAAGAATGTAGTAACATAGCAAACATTTAAGAATCGTATATCGATACAAACCTTTGAAATAAATGGTATATGGATCCTGGTATAAGGCTTTATTAATTTTATTAAAACTTGTGTCCTAATATTTCTAAGAAGATCTGTAAATAAATTAAAAACAAAATTATGATACATACCTCTATAAATGTAAGAAAGAAATTTACACTGGAAAATTTATATGCATGCATATTTTAAAGATTCCACTTTCTTTAATTATTAATTTCAAAATAATAATTATCTACAGCAAAAAGCATATATGATTAGGAAGAGGAATTTTATTTTTTCTAAATAACTTCTTTAATACCTTTGTCCCCTCCCAAAAGTTTAACAACTGAGTACAAATATCTAAGTTAAAATGCAATCAAGGTAACAAAGAAGGAAAAATTAATCTGTACGGGAATTTATATATAAGTGATAATAAAAATTACAAACTTATTTAAAATGACAAACCTTCTATATGTTCTCTAATAAATGGATCATCCATGATATTCCTGCGATTATTCTTGAGAATTTTCTCAAACTCATTGATGTCATTGTTTTGATAGGCACTGTAAAAATTTTTTAAGAGCTTAGTTTAAACTTGACAGAATCAGTCCTTTTAAAAAAATGACATGATAAAACAGTACACACCTCACTAAATTAGTCATCGCAAGAATTTCTGGATCATTTTTGTATGGTTTTGCTTCCTGAGAATCAAATGGATTGATACCAGACTTCATCAACATATTTGCAAGCACTAAATACTTCAAACAAGTTGTTCTCCTGTAGAAAGTAAATAAGTGATTGTATATTATATATATCATTATAGATACACCTTGAAATTTTCTTTATTTTGAAACTTTTGAAAAAGTTGATTCCATAAATGATGTTAATTTAATAACACAAAAATAAATTTTAATGCTGATGAGCTTTTATAAATTCTGGCTCCCCTTAAAGTCATAAATGCTTCATTATTCCATTAGCAACTACTTCTCCTTTACAATTTTATAATTTCTACATGTCATCTTACTTGATTTAAACTAATTATCTGAAATTTACAAAATTTGGAATTCGCAAAGTTCCAACGTTTCCAGATCTTGAACTTTGCACCAGACAAAATTTCAATAGTAGAAAAAAAAAAAAAAAAAAGGAGAGAGAGAGTTCTGATGTAATAGCATAACAGTGAGTTAACTGATAAGAAGACTTAAGAAGATCAGCTTTTATATTTTGATAGAACTTCATCATGCAGGAATTATCAATTTTTTATACATATCTTATTTCTTGCAAACTATGCCTCTTGATGGGGGGGGGGGGGGGGGGGGGGGGGGGGGGGGGGGGGGGGGGGGGGGGGGGGGGGTCCTAAATTCTGATGTTATATAACAGAGATGGCCAAACTTCAAGACGATGGGAGCTGCATGATTGGTTTTATGAACGTTTAAGAGCAGCAAGTCCAAATTTATATTATTTCAAAAACAATGATAGAGGATTTGAATATCAAGAAACTTTTGAAGTATATTAACCTTCTAAAACTGGGCTTAAATTCTCATAAAATAACCTTTAGGACGCTGCGATCCAAAACACTTTCCCCCCTCCTTTACTGTTCCCTAATGAGAAAAGTCGTTAGGCTGGTCATTTGTCTCCTCCATCAATGAAGTAATATTTACATGTTTGTTGGACTCTGGACAATAGTCTAGAATAGATTACTATATTTTGCGACTTTTTTCCAGGTTTGTTTTGATTTAATTTAAACTTAATTTTATTTATTTATTAAGAGCAAAATTTATACAATGTTTATATAACATTTACTATTTTTGATCAATCTGCGTAATAATTTGGGAACATTTTTTGTCTTTGTTTTCTACTAGAAAAACCAGGAAACAAGAATAGAACTTGACAAAATATAACAAATATGAACTAGATTTATATGCCTGTAGGTCGGAACGCAAAGATTTGATAAGCTATTTTCATAAATAAAATAATAGTAATGAATAATTTAATGAAATAATGATAAGGAATTCATAATAATATTCATTACTATTAGATGATTAGAATATTATTCATTACTGTTAGATTTTGAAATAAACATAAAACAATAAAGCTTTAAATCTGTTTCTTTTTTTATTTTTCATTGTAATATAAAAAAGAAAATCAGAGATATATTAGTTGTTTGATCATTTAACTTAAAGAAATATTACTTTGGAATATCGGGGCAAAGAAGGTATATCTGTAGAGAGAATTTTCTTTATAAAATCGGATATTGGAGGGGAAGAATTCTCCATTAATACATTAGGAGGGGAAGAATTCTCCAAATACCCATATATTCAATTCATTTTATACCTGCAGTGTGAAGTGAAGTCTGATAAGGTAATTTCTCAAATCTTTGCATTTTCGTGGTGTCCGTAGAGAGAGAGAGAGAGAGCACTTTCAGGCTTCTTTTTAATATTTGCTGAAGAGAATTTTAATCCATGATTTAAAATTTAGAAAATATAAATTTATCAGAAATATTTTTCAGAACAGTTTTAAATGTTTACAAAGAATTCTACGTAAATTTTGTTTCATAGGCTGATTTCGTTGAAAAACATCGTTATAAGTTTGATTTTTCCTTGATTTTAAATGACATGGATATAGATATGTTTTACATAATAAATTTTCTAATTTATTTTTAAAAGATTAATCTTTCATGCTTTCAAAATAATAAGGGCATACAGGGCATTGACATTTACACTGTAGGAAATATGTCTTTTACATTTCTTTTAGTGATCAAAATGATTAGCCAGGAATATTTTCAAAACAAAATGCTTTCTTTTTCCACTTATATTTGGCTGCAACTCTAAGATTGAGAAGCATATTGATTAGTTTCTCTGGTTAAAGTTTTAAACAATTCATGTGAAAATTTTAAAAAATGTACAGCAAGATGAGATGAGTTTCCGAAAATTCATTCTTTATACCAGGATTACCAACAAAGGTCAATATGTTAGCTTTGTCATGCTCATTTGGTTGCCTCTATTCAAATAAATTATTAGGGTTGCTTTTGAAGCCATTGGCAATTTTATTATCTTCATTAAAAGGTTGATTAAAACGTATTTCTTCTGCAACTGAACAGTGCGAAGGTGTGTCAACAAAAGTTTCCCCTTCTAAATCTCTTAGCAACTTATTAATTTCGTCCTGACTGAGACCTTTGAAACGAGGTGCCATAATAAGAACTGAATAAGAGCGCAAGGAAAAAAGTTACACTGAAATCACAAGAAAAAGCTCTAATGTTTAAAAGAGAGATAGCATCTTTTTTTTTTTTTTTTTTCATGTACATTGGCACGAAACGCCTTCGCCAAAACGTAGCCAACCAGATAAGAAATGGAACACAATGCATAGCCAGGGGCTGCTCTGACACAGGAAACTGGACCACATAGAGATTCTAAAGATAAATGATTACTCTAAAAGGGGGGAAAGAAAGGCTGGTACAACAGTTGTATCATAGCTGGCTTAAAAGCAAGTAAATTTCATGGTTCAACAGTTGCACCACCGGCTTTAGAAAGTTAAAGACAGTTTGGACACATATTGGACCCATAAAGTCAATATGTGATTAACATGATTACACATAAATATGAATAAATACATCCTTATATCTACTGTTTTGTATTCAGAAAAGTTAAGTCCCAAGAAAAAAATTTTTAACTCTTGCACTGGGCAACTGAATGTTTTTTTTTTTTTTTTCAGGTAAAGAAACCTACTAATTTCTTATTTCCTTTATACCTCTCCATTTACAATTATCGTTTTATTTTAGTAGAATTAAAATGAATTGGAAGCATATTCATTGGTCTACAATTACATAAAAAAGTAAATTACAAATCCTTATTTAAAAGAAAATTGAGTTTTTTTTTAAACTCATGAGCAGTCTTTTAGAAAGGATAAATTAAATGATATATACATCAATGCGCACTGCGAAGAAACTGTTATTCAAGAAAGAATATATATTTAAAAATATGCTATGAACTTGTTCAGGCTTTTGCTTAAACATAATTCTGTTTCTCCATACAATTAACATATGGAAAGCATACTGAGATCATTCAAATCTTCGGATCTTAACCTAAAAAAAATCGCTAAACATTTTCCCCGAAACTTTGGAATAACTACTTTTACTGATGCCCAGTATAAAAGAATTTACCCACCCCGCCCAAAAAAGAAAATAATTGCAATTTCAGTGGTATTTGAATAACGTTCTCTTATGACAACCCTGACTGATACAGTATTTCAGCATGGCATCCAGCAGAATCTGACATAATTTTTTTTGTAATCAACACACTTCACATCATTGAAAATTCTCAAAACTATCTCTCAAACTGTCCTGATAATTTTGGACATAGATAATGAAGTTCAGACACATAATTGAAAATTCTTGAAACTATCTCTCGAATTGTCCTAATAATTTTGGACATATATAACAAAGTTCATGCGCAACATTGAAAATTTTCGAAACCACCTCTTGAATCGTTACAATAATTCTGAACATACATAACCAACTGCTAATAAATCTAGTAGTTCATGCCGTGGTACGAACGCTTTTTCAAGTACATATTCCATCTGTCTACCAGCCAAACTCTTCAACCTAGCTGTCTAATTTTTAGCTGTTTTTCAAATATATCACATCAAAACTAATGTTATAGAAAGAAAACATACCTGTCACTATTATAATGAATTTATTTTGTAAATGCAGATATCGCATGAATGAGTAACTCTTCATATTTCTGTGAACATGCACATGCACAGATTAACGTAAGCCTAATGGTTACATAGTGCAACTTTTCATTCGGTTACCTAATTCGCATACAGAAAATAAATCTCAAATGGAGTATGTAGGCAGAGGCTACTTCAAAAAATAAAAGATCAGACTTTAAAATTTTCAAGGGAGCAAAATTTCAAATTATTGCCTGAATTTTATAGTGAACAGGCAGTGGATCATTGTATAACTTCCTGTTTGGCTAACTACGCTTTCATGAAGGCCATGTCAGACGTACATGTCGATCAAAAATTAGGAAGACAAAAAATATTGACAGATTAAAAGAAGTACAATGCTGGCATCAGAGCTGGAGCAACTGGTGCAGCTCAAGAATTGCAGTACTAAGGGGTGAAACATTTTAGACGTATGCTGGGCAGCAAAATGCCTCTAACTTACTGCAATATTTACCAGCGACTCTAGCCTAGTGCAGCAAAATGTCTTTAACCTAGAGCATGGTAGAAAGAAAGAAGGTCATCACACAAGAAATCGAAAAATACCAGAAATCATCACAAGCTAAAGCTATTTGACCAAATCAATATGACTTTGATAGAAACTTTGGAGAAGAGAGTCGGTTGTGCTCTGTTACTCCCTCATTGCTTCATGCAACATTATTGATATGAATATTTGATGATTAAGGTGAAAGATTTCTATCTGGAATAACAGCATTTGATAAAACAGGAATTAAACATTTTGACTAAAATTTAAATCATTGTCTAAATTATAATCTTTGCCTAGAATTAATTACCAAGGAATTATTACGAAAAACAGAGTTTCATGTAGGTAAAGTATTCATTAAGCATATTATTGTGAATGGTTGCAAAATATGTGAAGCAACTGCATAAAAATGCCTGACTTGCTTAGGGATAAGAAATTAAGTTTGAAGTAGTTCTGCAGAAAACTGAGACAAATCTCCTAACCAAGTGAGAGGCTGAGGGTTCACTCTGCCAAAAATAAAATCCTCATAAAATTCTTCCACAGATTAAAAGAACTCTATATCAATTGCAAAGAAAACAGGTTTCTTCAGCAGTTACTCACACCATTCAAAGACTGAATAAAAGCTGCACCCTACAACAAATAGCAAATCTCCCAGGTGGATCCCAACTGTTGTGAACAATGGGATCACACAGGAATGTAAGCAGATTATTGCCATTTTCACCCTTAATGTCATCCATCATCTTCAGCATTGTTCAATCTGTCTTCCCATGTGAAGCGATCTTTGGAAACATTATGTGCATTGGATATTCCCATTTATTTGAAGCTTTTAACTATTGCTGCTTCATCAATCAGATCCCATGTATACAAAATCCATGACCAAATCAATTACTAAGAGAAAACGTAACACCAAGTGGATGAATTCGTTTTAAAATTTAGGGAAACTTGCTTTCTGAACATTTTGAACAATGGGAAGGTTAATGAATAGTTAAAAAATTTTCAGAAACTTGCATTAAAATGCTCAGGAAAAAACGCAAGTAAATATGATATTTGATTTAACAAAAATTTTAAGAAATTACATTTAAATATAATTCACTTAACAAATTCAAGCACCAGCAATTAAGTAGCAGACATTTATATATTTTATTTAAAAGGGTACGAAAAATCAATACTGTATAGAGTCCGAGATCTGGACGTTCAATATTCAGAATGATCTAAACCTCAAAGCCATCGCCATTTTTTTCTTTTTCTTTTTTTTTGACTTTATGCATGTGCATTTGACTTACGCCTGATAATAAAACGTGTAAAGAGTTCAGATTTTTAATTTTACTTCAGCACTAAATAAAATACTTGTTATTAAAGACACAATCATTTTAGCACAAATTTGCGTGATCATTGATTTAGTTCCGTAGTTGCATATCTGCTTGGCACACATATCAAACCGAAACCAGTTTCAAAACAATCTCATGATACAGTCAATAATGTATAGTGGACGCTATTTTAAGGCAGGCTAAAATTATACTTTACTGATGCCAAGGAATTTCAGTTAATACAGCAGATTGCACCGTTCCTTAACTTTCTGATGAAATGCAGCCCATTATTTTTTTATATCGAAATAATGTGCATCCATCAGTGCCATACAAACAGTATGCCTGTCTTCCTGTGCAGTTCTGCAATGAGGGAGTTGCAGTTACTCTTGTCCATTAGTCATTTCCTCCTGCATTCACCGATTCTATATTGGCATAACTGTTGCTTGGCTACATCCAGGGTTCGTACACATTTCTGCACACAGAGATTAAGCACTTTTATGGACCATTAATGAAAAAATTAAGGACCTATAAGCAATTGGGAACTGAACAAATTCAATTAAAAATATTATCTATGCTGAACTTCACTTTTGTAATACCATCCTAAAAATAAAACAGATCCATAAGTCGGATGCATTATTATTAAACATAATTAACATACTTATTAATAAGTTTGAGAATAAAATTAATTTTTTGAAATTTATCACGTAGCATTAAATATTTTACACTCACAATAATTGGACATATTTGAAAGAAGATAATAATAAAATTTTTTAATAAAAAATAAGCTGTACCCATGTGTATATGTTCACATATATATGAAGGAGTTGGGGTCATTAAAATTCCAGGAGTCTGAGTCAGAGTTGGTCATTTTCCCTACTGACTCCACAGCCCTGATTATAAGTAATTAAATTAGGAATTAGATAACCTCAGTCATTATGGATTTACATGGGCACTATTAAATTTTATTTATTTTTTTTTAACAATATTTGTTAAAAAAAGCCCTATTAAATCACAATCGAATAAAATTTCACAGTTTAAAATAAAATACATGTAATTTATGGCATTGAATCTTAAATGATATTAAGATAATTATACATTAAAAGCTACAAAATATTTATGTTTTGTAGCAACAACACTCAACAAAACATTTATGCGTCTTTTTAATTTGAAGCCTTCCCAGACATTTTGGCTAATTTATATCCATTTCCTTCTCTTTAAGCATCTTTTCTAACAGTTAGAATTTTGTCTCAATACGCAAGACAATGTTCTCACTAGTTTCTACGTGTTTTAGCTCCTAACCTGTCAACCTCTCCAAAATGTACATATGAGGGTTTACTTGATCTGGTAAAAGTTAAATAGTCCAAAACCCTCTGGACAGATGTGAAGCAAATTATCGCTATGTTTGAAAGTAGCTACAAAGATTTAAATAAGTTTCTTATTTAAAAAGAACTCAGAACATAAAGACATGTTATAATGCTAAATAAATCAATTACAGCTCGTGATGATGTAATTAAACAAGAAGAATCAAATTCAAACTAAAAATATGGACTAGTGATCAAAGACTATAACAATTTAATTTCATTTTAAGCTGTAACATTTTAAGCTCAGTAACTTTATCGTCAAAACAAATACAAATGTCAGCAACGGTAATGTAAAGACGAATAATTACAAATTATCAGAGGTGGCAGGAACCAATGCAGGGAGCAAGTGGAGGTCAGAAATATACTCTTGCCTTACACTCCAAAAGCCTCAGTTTAAAAACTAAGTGATTTGCATTCTGGTGAGAAAATAGAAATGGAAACTATAGTAAACAAATTGTAAACAACTGGGTAATTTACATAATAATATCTGCACATATCTTTGAAGAATAATTTCCCTCTCTTAATGTAGTCAGCTTTCTTTCTTCAGCATGTTTCCTTTCCATTTTAGAATTTTTGGATTTAATTAAAGATTTCTGTTATTTCTAAAAACACTAAATGCATTTAGAATGTATAGAAAAAGCTGACTAATTTTAATTTCTTTAGTAATACGAGCATTCAGAAGAAATATGAAATATATATGGTAAAGACCGGTTACAGAGCTGGTGTGGCAGAATTTTTAGAATTTAACAACACATCAAACAACAAAAATCTAGAAATAGCTAAAACTTTTATAATTTAGAAGCAGGCATTGGAAGCAGAATTTAGAAAGGTACTATGCAGTTGAATTTAGGATCCACAGAGATTGAATCAGATGGGAAAATTTCTAGTGCCAGCTTCCTGTGTATGATGCACTAAGACATATTAGATGGACCTAGTTTAAATTGTAAGTTTTTTATTTCTTTATTAATTAAAAAAATTCCCTTTCTATAATGGCTGTTCCATAGTGATAAGATTAGAAGCATTTTTGATATTTTCCATGCTTGTGTCTAGTGAAAAGTAGAGAAAATAAAGGAAGATAAAAATGTTAAGAAAAAGATTCTAGTAGCAGAAAGAGTAAAACATTCAAATATTATGCCTTTTCATTGTTCTTTCCAGACGTTCTCCAAAAAGTAATCGGAAACTTTCTGTGGATTAATACCCATGGAGACATTTTTCACTTTGTCCACATATTTCTCGAATCATCTAGAATCGAGGGTCTATAAATCTTGCCTTCAAATCCTTTTCTAAATTTTCCAAGCTGCAATGTCAAAAATACTAAAAAAAAATTATCCCAACCAATTTTGTAACAGCAAAAAGCCAGAAATATTTTGGGGAAAAAAAAAAAAAAAAAAGAACGGACCAAAAAAGTGTAAAATTAATTTTATAGAAGAAAACTGACGCATATTCTGACACAATTACATCGAGAAAACGCTTACTAAGAAAAAATTAAAAGAGACATTTTTTAATTAATTACATAGCTAACTTTGCTTTTGCTAAGAGCTGTTTTGTAAATTGTGCTTTATAGCATTATACCTTGTTTATTTTTCAGATTTAAAATATTGTATAATGAGTGGCCAAAATGAACTCTTTATAATATAACAGCGAAAAATAAAAATTGTTTATTTTAATGTTATTTTTAAAATATAATTTCAATATATTACCATTATTTTAATGAAATTTATCAATGTTACAATGTTTTAAAAAAAATCGTCGAAAAATTTCCCAGATCTTCCGAATTAAAATTTTTTTATATAAACTGATCGTTAAAATCACCAAAATGTTGCTAAGTCACCAAATTTAGAGCAATTTAATAAAAAAATTCATACATCAAAAAAAAAAAAAAAAAAAAAAAAAAAAAAAGTTTAAGAGCTCTTCACTAGAAAAAATGAAATAATTTCAAATTGCTTGTGTTGCACTTCTTGCTCAGAAACTCTACAATTTATAACCCATGAACGCAAACACCCATTCAAAAGATAACGATATTTGTCAGTGAATTGCGAAAAATATTCCTCCAAAATGCTAATTCACTCTCAAACTGGCAATTGAAAAACAGACAGAAATTTCAGATAATTAAAATTAAGGACCTTCTGCCAATTTTGGCCGAAATTAAGGACTTTTAAGGACCAAAAATCAATTCCTAAAAACTTAAGGACTTTTAAGGACTCTTAAGGACCGTCCGAACCCTGTACATCCGACATCATGATTGATTCCCTGGAAGGATAAGCTACAATCCGGATGCACTGATTCTGCCTCCGAAACATACTCGAATGATGCTTGTGTTTTTTAATAAGGCATACTGTAGCTGCACACACAAAAATCTCACGAGAAAACACGTCACGTTCTTCAAAATGGCAATCTTTCATCTCTTTACACAGGGACTGGAAGAAGCTCTGCAGTCACCTATGATCTGCATATGTCCCGAAAGCATAATCATTTGGATACTCTATTGTCGGTATACACATGATGAATGTTTTATGCTGTTTGGATGCTTCTTTCATGTGTTGCATTTTGAATGGCTAACAGTTTATATATATATAATGCTCTAATAAACAAATTTACAACAAAAATTTACTTATTTAAGACCTTTCAAACAAAAATTTACTTATTTAAGACCTTTCAACATATTTTGCCATAAAATAACAAACATACATCACACATAAAATTTACCTTGGACTTCCGGATTCATCATAATTTTTAAATGCTTCAAAGAAATCGGTATGAGCTTTTTCATATTCTCCTTCTCGAAGGTGCATTTTGCCACCACATTCTAAAAAAATATTTAAAACAGTAATTAAATTTTTCTAATCCTGTAAATATCTTCAAATTATAAGGAAACACTAATTTAGCTGAATATGACATACCACATTAGAAGACTTTATAAGGCAAACTAACTCATATTCACATCACATGTGGGAAAAACCACAAAACATCCAACCAATTAGCATGTTCATCGAAATTCAAACTGGGTCATACTTAAAAGTGACCACTAGCCTTATTATTCTGCTATTCTGGGTACTATCATTTTAATTTTAAAGTGCAATAGACTTTCGTAAATTTAATCATTTACCTATGAAAAACAGACTGAGTATGTCGTAAACACCATACATATTCTGCATAATAACATTCTTTATTCTGAGTAGAAAACTGAAGATTGATGAAAAACTGTACCCAGGGTTTGTACACATTTCTGCACACGGAAATTAAGTACTTTTAAGGACTATCAAAGAAAAAAATTAAGGACCTATCAAGCAAACAGGAACTGAATAAACTACAGCACTTTTCTACATTCAAACTTCAGTTTTGTAACACCACTTTCATAATTTGCAAGAATAAAAGGAATCTAAAAAAAGTGCATTATTATTAAACATAATCTACTGTTTAACTTAATTATAAAACAAATTCAAGAATAAAATTAACTTAAGCATAATTTTTTTTCACATAATTAGCATTAAATTATAAAATTTCTTGAAACAATGATATTTTACACTTGCAATAGTCTCACATACTTTAAAGAAGATTTAGTGACTTTTTATTTAAAGTTTATTAATACAGTAAAGTCCAGAAATCCGCAAAGCTTGGGACCAGAGGTTGTGCGGATTTTAGGATTTTGCGGATTTCACGACAGAAAAGATAAAGATATATTAGGACTAAAAGTGCAAAATAAATAAGGTGTATTAGATACATTTAATTAAATTATTATATACATTCTTGCAATTATTTATTTTAGGCATTAAATTATTATACACAGCATCGAGGTTTGCCGATTTCGCCACATGCGAAGATTTCCGGTTTGGGATTTCGGTGTTAGAATCACTGTTGTAAAATTTAACAGCTTTTCTTTATTTTTCCGTATATCATACACAATTGAGTCGCAATTCCATTCCATTCTGCTATAAATCTAAGAGTAGCACCCTGCCTTCATCTTTTGCAGAATCTGCATTTTTTTGCGTTACCGTCAATGCAACATGTTTACGTTTTTCAACGTTGCAAGCAGTAAAATGAGTGCGTTTCTTATCTGTCATTGTATTAAAAAGAGCTAAAATTTAAAATATTCTTAATTGATCCACAAAATATCCGGATATAAAAAGGCAGCACTAAACAATCTCGTGAAATAACAAAGCTCAGAAAATACAACAACGTGAACTTGAACGAAGAGTTGAGTAAATCGTATGCTTTTTTACCTCAATGCAGATTAGAGTGGAAAAAACTTCTATCTTATTTTTTAAAACTTTTTTAATGCCAATAATTTGGTATTTTCATTATGATTCATTATTATTCGATAATTATGATGTCATTATTCGGTAAGTATTTTTTCTGCGATATTTCCTACTCAACCGTTTCCGGAACCTCTAAACTGAATGTTTATATTTTGAGAGGCAACGAGGATTTCAGGAGTTCGCGGATTTTCGGTATTTGACTGTAGTTAGCTTAGCTATTGATCCTTTCATCATGTATCATCATGTATAGATTTCATCATGCATCACTCAGTCCAGAGTTATATGAAATTTTTATATTCAAATGGGATATTCACAATCAATAACGATTAAGTTAATGCAATAACTCATCTTAACAGTTAACAGACAAATTCTAAGGATGAGCAGTTAGTTACAAATAATTAAATTACATAGTTAATCAATAGATTACATGGTTAACATTTTTTTATTACTAAAAATATCTATTAAAAATAACTAAGAACATTTTAAAGCAGTTATAATGTTGCAACAACAAATAAAATATTTATGCATCTTTTTAATGTGAAAATTTTCCAGATGTTTTAGTTAATTTACACCAGTTCCCTTCTTTTTAGCATATTTTCTATGCTTATTTGTTTCAATAAACAAATCAATGCCCCATTAGTTTCTGCTTCATTTAATTTATAAATGTTTCAACAATGTACCCTTGAAGAATAATTTTTTTTCTCTCTCTCTCTTTAAAACAATCAATTTCTTCTAATGAATTTCCTCTTCATTTTACAATTTTCTGATTTAATTAAAGACTTCTGTTATTCTAAAGAACTGGCTGTACTTAGATTGTATAAAAGAAACTGCTAATGTTATTTCTTTAATAATATAAGTATTGAGAATAAACATGAAATGATATAGGGTCTGAACTGGAGTCAGAAGATTTCAAAGACCCTTTCAGCCAAACATGCACGTGCGAAATCGAGCTCCAGATTTAATGTGGATAAAGTTTGGTCATTTAGTGCAAAAGGGAATAATTTCCATATCAGCGAAAAGGTCTCACCAAGAGCTTTAATTTGATATTGGTTTCATGCTGATATGACCAATAGATCTAGAATTAAGATCTATTCAAGATTCTACTCCATTGTCTAAGCGTTCACCTTAGAAAGGGATTACTAATTCTCAGTGAAGTGCATCTCAATAGTAACTCTGTATAAAATGATATCGCGGCTTCATATGTCAATCTAGACACAATCAACATATCATTGAATAGCAGGTATTTTCCGCCTGCCTCCGGTACAAGTTTGGAGATTGTAAGGTCATCGAGTGTGATAATATAGCATTTTTAATTAATGTCAAAAAGTGAATATTTAAAGGATTGAATCATCAACATCTTATCATCCACTGGGAATAGCGAAGCAATGTAATAATATCAAGGTAGGCCTCCATACTAACTTTATTTGGATGTGCTTCTAATAATCGTCACTCTATTAGTTGTAATATTATTAAGCAATAATTGCTTTTTACATGTTTGAATTAATTTTTTCCCCCTGCCTAACTCCCTTTTTCGTCCTTGAGGACATAGGCAGGCATGGCACAATCAACTCATCAGCGCCCTGCAACAGTACCCTTATCCTCAAAGGTCACCTTGGAGCTTTTACACAAGGGAACTTAGCACAACACTGCCATCTAAAGGACTTTGCAAGAACTTTTTTCCATGTGCTTCTGCTTACATTAAGGATTTAACGTTTTCCTGTAGCACAACACTGCTAATTCACACAGTATCTTCTAAACAATTAGAACTTTTTCCTGCAGCTCTTTATTGGTATTTTCTTTTTGATTGCTGTTTAATTTATTTATATAATATTTGTCTGCTCTCAATATTATCTTTAATGCACGTTGCATAGGATATTAGTTGAATATTGGACTTCTCAGATAATATAATCTGCTTTCTTTAATAATCGTTATAATTGTCAAGGAAGTCTCCGATAAGATAATTTACTTCTTCCACATTTTATTGCTTGTATTATTAACGTATAAGAGTATGTTTTGTTAGTTGTACATCACTGTATTTTGCTTCCCCCTATATTTTTTAATTAATTCTGCCAATCACAATTAAAGACAGTATGCTGAAATTCAAATTGCATTCAGTGTCTTCTTAGCACATCAATATTTCTCTTGTATTTTTGGTAAACACTTCTCAATAACACTGACAGTTTTGGCTAAGAATCCCAGGAGCTCAGTAATTAGCAGCAGCCATCACATCATTCATCCGCCCTTTTTTCTTTATTATTATTTTTTTATCTTTCATTTATTTATTTTTTAATTGTTTATTTATTTAGTTGTTGTTGTACTATGGCAACTAATAAAATTCACCTTCAAATTCCACTTCTCCAATTCAAACATCATCATCTCCTTCTACTCATTCTTCTACTAACGAGCCAGCATCCTCAAGATTACAGACACTGAATAGAGTGTGATAAGATATTAGACTTAGTTTTCTCCAGCACACCAAAGATCAGGTTTAGTAAATCAGATTGAGAATTATTAAAGCACTTTGTCTTTAGCATGAGAAGTATCCTCACAGAACAAGAATTGCATATCTTCCACTTACAGGGTCAAATTGAAGCACAATTGCAGTCCTAAAATAGAGCTTTCAAACAGCTCCAAGAGTTGCTACCTCAGCAACTTCACAGTGCGCTCCCGCTCAAATAAATTTTGAACCTATGGGCGCACCTGAAATTCAACCCAACGACACACCATTCATCGATGTCACAGTGCATAAGAAAAATTGTCCGTCAACATCAGCATCAAAGAATATCCCCACTGCAGTAATTCCGACAGAACAATCCCTTCATGTGCTGTTAATAAGTGCTAAGATTCTAGTCGCACCCATGATAATATTAAATCCCAATTAGTTGCAGAACTCTGCCCATCACAACTAAGGGTTACAATAGTTCAAATTAAGCCAACGTGCTCAAAGGAATTGCTAATTAGGTGCAGAAAGAGCACACATATCTCCAGACTTCACAAAACAATTGAAGAACACACACCCACAATTAAGTGACTGCCTTATATTAGGGAACCCAAACCACCAGGAGAATACATCATTATCTTTGGCGTCCCACTAAAAGCAACTGAGGAAAATATTGTCAAAGTGCTTAAAGACATCTTGCCACCGTCATCAACAAGTAAAATCAGAGGTCACATTGCCTGGATGGGACGGCAACATAAACTGGATCTTAGACATAGAATCTGGTATCAAGGAACAGCTGCTAGTAAAGGTACAGTTTTTATAGATTTCGTGTCTTGTCCTTTTCACTCTTACATTCGAGTAGCACATTGTTATAATTGCCAACAATTTAGCCATATTAGCAAAAGTTGCCGAGCCTCACCTTCTTGCTTTAAGTGTGGAAAAGGTCAGTTAGTGCAAGACTGTCAGTCAGAAGAAGTGAACTGTATCAACTGCCATATTTCTAATTCCACAAAAGGTACAGAGTTCTCAAAAGATCACTTAGCAAGATCCTCAACATGTCCGATACACAGAGCAGTTCTCAACAGCAAGTCGAAAGCCTTGAACAAATAA